GTCCGAAAACCCCCAAAAAATCCCTCAAAAACAGCTCTATTTCCCAGCGAAAATCAGAGACAAAACCGGCTACAAAACAGCCCCAAACATTGGTTAAAATCTCCAGCAAAAATAGTCATGTAAAGCACCATGTTCTTCACCCAAAACCAGATCTAAAACACCTCTAGATCACCAAAATATGCAGCTAAAAACCAGCCCTGAAACCAGCTAAAAAATAGTCATGAAATCACTCTAAACCTCCATTTTTCCTCCGTTAAACCGCCACGAAAGTTGTCGTCCTTCATCCAAAACCAGTAACTCGTTCCTACTCCGTCAATCATTGTAAAAGAGCCGAGTTAGAGTCAGGTTAGTCGAGATTCATTGAGGTTTCCCGGCAAGGTTCGTTGTTTCATGTCGAGCTCTCCATTTTGTCATTTGATTTCCTGAACTTTGGTTTGGAGTTTTCTTCAAATATAAGGTCCCTTTACCTTCTTAATATACTTCTTAGTTCCATGGTATTTTCTGCAATTTTATTTGCCTTTATGAAAGTTAGATGATACTCTGGTTAATACGTGATTACTTGCCTAAATCATGAATCCGCTTGAGAATATCTATATGGTTGATGTATATTTTAGCTTTATGAATTTGGAATCCATGTGTAACCAACTGAAATGTGTTAAGGAGAAAATGAATAACGTTTGCTAAGAGAGATTGGAAAGTAAGGTTTGGAACCACGGAAAAGGATTTGGGACTTTGGATTGATGATTGGAAGGGGGTCTTCGCATTTGCTATCATTTTGTCGCATTTGCGATCATTTTGTCGCATTTGCGACTTCTGTGGCTCTAAGGCAGGGTTCACAATTGTAATTCTTGTCTTGCATTTGTGGCATTCGCAATTGTGAACATGACTTCGCAATTGCGACACCTGCCGCTGGGTAAAAGAGGGGCAAAATAGGACTTAGCTCATTTCACACCATTTCTCAACCCCTAAACACCCTAGAGGCAATTTTTCAAGAGGCTTTTCTTCCCAAATTCATTGTTAAGTGACTTTATTCATTTTCTTTCAATTACCCATTACATTTTATGAGATTTCAACATCAAATTTAGGATTTTCATAGTAGAAATTAGAAATTTGGGTAAATTTTAGGATTTTTGTAAAATTGAAATTTAGACCTCGCATTGAGGTCGAATTTCGAAACAAATCACATAACCAGGATCGGGGGTAAATGAGTGATTGGGTTTGGGTCCGAATCTCGGGTTTTGACCAAGCAAGCCCGGAGTTGACTTTTAGTGATTTTTTAAAAAATAATCAAAATTGAACTTCTTTTATTTGTGGGTAGTTTCTAAAGCTTATTTGAATAATTTGGTCCATAATTTGCTATATTTGGTTGGTTTAGAGACTTGTTCAAAAGGCAAGGTTGTGGTTGATTGATTACTGAGTTGCAGAGTGAGATAAGTATTGGGTTTAACCTTGATTTCAGAGAAATAGGAACCCTTGAACTACATGTTATGTGAATTACATGGAAAACGACGTATATGTATGGTGATGAATATATATACGCCATTATTATACTTTCTTCCATGTTTTCGTTACTTCATGATATATCTTGTTTCATACCTTAATTGCTACTTGCTTTATTGATTTCTATGTCATAATTGTTACATGTCATTTAGCTATTCTTGTATTAAACTGTCTATTCCTTCCATGATTCCATGCTTATTTGCTAATTGTTTTACTTGCATATTTAATTGTCATGTCTTACTTGCCTTATAGTTTTGTTGTTTTTGATGTCTTTTATATATGGTTTCACTTGTATGAGTTGTCTAACTGATAGATACCGATGAGTTGGTAAGGTCAAGTCATTCGAGTTGTTAAAGATTCTTTGATTATTATGTGATTCTTCATTGCTTCGTACATTTACTCTCTTGATGTATAAATTCATATAAATTTTAGTTATTGAATTACTATTATTGATTAAGATTGCTTGGGGAGCTGGTTACACGCCGCAACGGAAATTGAAAGGAAATGAATTGACATGGAACAATAAGGACGAATTTTGATAATGATAAATGATGACATGGTGGGATAGGGTTGCGCCACAATGGATTGTATATGTGGTATTTGGTATTGATAAATGATGATATGGTGGGATCGGGTTGCATGCCGTAACGGTTTGTATATGTTGTACTTGTTGTTATTGTTGAGTTGGTCTCGCCATTTTTATATGAGATGTGTTATTCTAGGCTTTCTAATAATGAGGTTGAGTTCAATTTCATGAGTTAATTGCTTTACTTCCACTTCCTGCTTCTTTTCTTGTATATTTATTATTACTGTGTACGGGTTATTGTAAGTGACCCGCTTAGCCTCGTCACTACTTCGTCAAGGTTAGGCTCGGTTCATATAGAGTACATGGAGTCAGTTGTACTCATAATATACTCTGCGCTTCTTGTGCAGATATCGGAGATGGTCCTAGCGGCGCTCAATAGCTTTTGGCTCGGATTTAGTCGCTGATGGAGACTTGAGGTATAGCTGCACAGCGTCCGCAACCCTGAAGTCCCCTTCCCTACTATCTTTACTATTTTATTGAGTTTCAAAATAATGTATTTTATTCGGATCTTATATATAGCACTCTAGATGTTCATGACTCGTGACTCCAGGTTCTAGGTTACGTTTAGACTTTGTTGATCGGCATTATTTTACTTTATTTCAGACATATATCGTTATCATTGTTAATATTTTATTTTCAATTGTTAAAATCAATTAATTTTCTATTTCACGTCGGCTTGCCTAGCAAGTATATATTAGGTGTCATCATGACCCCGAGGTTGGGATTCCGATTTTTACGCGAAAAACACCCGACTCAAAAGGTGAAAAATTATGACCTACTATCTAGTAAGATTTTCCCAAACATTTAACTATACTCTGAGCCAAAATATAGTTTACAAAACTCTTTCAAACCAAAGAATTAAACTCAAGCCCTTGTGGCAACAAAACTGGAGGATATTGCGACTACTTAAAGTTAACTCTAACTTGAACAAATAACTCAAGTACCTAATAAAATTTCTTCTAAATAAAGCTGAAAAGTACAACTTAAAATACCTACTACGCTTTGAACTAGAAATAAAGATAGACTCATAAAATTCTTTATGGAACTAGTTCGTGTAGTTTTAGGTTCACACACTCAAGTCTCTCAGGAATTGTTCACAAAATATCTTTCTATTTTACTCTCAATTTTTGCTTTTACTTCTGCATGTGTGTGTCACCTTTAAAAGAGAACAATATTGATATTTATAGAGTTAATAGAATAAAAAGTAAATAGTAGTCTAATACTTTACTCCTCCTTGGTGGAAGAGTTCTAGTTAACTTCAACCTCCAATACTTTTTTTTATATCTTGGATTGAGTTCTCTTCAAGTAAGGAGACCTACTACTTATCATACATGCAATCTTTTCGTTCAAGGTTTATCATAAATAACCATTTATACTTACCATTTGCACGTGCATGCTTTTTGCTTGTTTTCATCTGTGACATGTGTATAGTATCCATAAACATGATTCATGTATGTGTTCCTTTTTCAAATAATCAAAACCTATAATGCTCAAGTCAATAATTTCTCCCTTTTTGATGATGACAAATTGTGTACTTTTCAAAAGCATAGAAACTGTTTCAACTTAGATCAACATCAAATAAAATTCACAAATCATCAAGGACCAGGTTTATTAAGTTATAAATATTATAGTCCGAAGTAAACGCACAACATATCTTCCCTCTTTTGGCATCATCGAAAAATTTCATAATTAAGTTAAGTAACCAGATTTCAATAGATATTACTCATGGTAACTAGGCTACTTCAAATGCAACCATGGATTCGAATTTCTCTTTCTTTAATCTAAAGTTAGCCATATAAGAAATATTAATATCAAATACTTAGAGAAAAATAGTAACTTTCAGTGATAGATAATATCCTACCATAAAGAATAAGAAAAAATAAGCAACAAAGAACCATGAGCAAAAAATAGAAGAAAAATTCCACTTGGGTCTAAGAAAAAGACCGGTTACAACTGGGCTAGGAAGGGTTTAAGACTGGGAAGCACCAAGTTCTTAACATGAAGCATCTTCACTATATCTTGGAGTATGACATCATTTTTCTTCTTCTCTTTTACCAACTCAGATGTGAGAGAATCTCTCTTAGCTTCCACTTCAACCAACATTTTCTGCAGCCTCTCAATCTCAGCATCTTTCACTCTACTTTCCTGTCCAATGCCCTAACTCTGTTGTTCTTAGGTACCATCTTGGATGAACCAGGTTCTTTTGCAGTAGTTTGGATTTGATAGTCACAATTAGTTAAAGTTTCGGCCCAAAGTAGTGCTTGCTATTACAAACATCCAATTTCCTAGAGGGGCCTTGAAAGGTGCAAGAACAATAGTTAGGATGAAATCATAGGGAATGGTGTGAGTCCTGGTGCCATAGAAAATCCCATGAAGGAGGCTGATCATAAATCTTGGCCAATTAATCTACTTCCTACTGTCCAGACATTCCATAAGGACAAGGTCCAAGAAGGTAGCTTGATGTCCCCTTTCCTGCCTATGAAGAACCACCTTATTCATAAATTCAAAAAACACTTAGTAAAAGGGCTTCATCTCACTTTTATACACAACTCTAGGCTGTTCTTCCAAATTATGGTTTGCAAACTTCCTTATGATAGCCAAAGAAGTGGGAAGATCATCTACACTAAGTGATTTAAGCTTTATATAATCATTATACCACCATAGCAGGTATACACAAAATCTGCCCAAACTTTTTATCATCAAAGGTTATCTTAGCCCCCTTGATTTCATTGGTGACCCTTCCTTCGTTCACCTCACAAGTCACAAAGAACTCAAAAATTTCAATCCTAGCCAATCTACCCTCAATATGAAGGACCATTTCCTTCCAGCCTTGCAACTCCAACTTCTCCAGTAGTTGAACCATCCCTTCTTCCTCTATATCATGAAGAAGTCTCCCCTTCAAAATGGTTCTCTTCTAAAAAGTTACACTCTTGTCCTCCTCCTCGTCAGTCTCTTCTTCGTTATCTTCTTCCATAACTTGAACTTTCTTGCCCTTTCTAGCAGACCTGGTTCTTTTGGACACAGCTGAGCCTTCTTCATCGGCCTCCTTTTCTTGAGACTTTTTCTGAGAAATCTTTTCTCGAGACTTGGCACTAGGTGTGGGTACCTCCATATCCTCAACCTCATCTTCGTCCTGAAGAACCAGGTTCATCTCCTCAATTTGAACAGCTTCACTCGGCTCACTAACTTTCTTCTTTGCTCTTGTACTAGCCTTCTTGGCACCTTCAGCTAAGGCATTATTCAAATTTGCCTCACTTTGCTTCTTCTGGCTCCTTATAGTTTTTCCTTTTGTAGGAGAAATTGCTACAAGGATAAAAGAAGCAGTCTTTCTCTTAGTGCCACCCGTACCCTTCCCAGGGGTTTTTTCCCTGGCAATCTTCTTCTTTTTGGGATTGAAACTGTCAGACACCTCCTGTAGCTGATTATGAAGGGGCTCTTGTCTAGAAGGAACAGGTTCATGGAACCATTTCTTCAACCTAACCAGCCCTTCTGTTGCAATTGTATTGTCTTATCCACCGCCTCTCTCCTATGTCTTCATCCCTAAATTTCCTTCTTCATCTACACATTCTTCACTCTGTAGTACCACTGCACATGTTTTCTCATCTAACCTAATATGAATGGGTGAATTAGATCCATCCACTTGTGCTTCTTCCCTTCCTCCTCACAACAGTCTCAACAACCTTACTCTTTTTTCCATTTTTTCCTTCTTTTGAACACAAATATCAACATTCTCACCAACATTTTCTATTTTAACACCACCAACAGGACCAACCAGCAAAAGCGAGTTTTATAATTTTCTGTAATTTCAGAGCCAAAAGTAGAAGAAGGAAACTCGGAAGTTACCAGTTCAGTTTCAGATGAAAATTATTCATCCCCCTCAGTCACAAACTGAAAGGAATTTTCAGATATTTGGGGTTCATCTTCTTGAATGGCTTGTAATTTTTCATTTACTATCTTAGATTATTCTTTGTTCGTTACTGTTTTACATGCGAGCACTTTGACATAAAATTTATTGGGGGTTTGAGTAGTTGAAGGTATGAGTGAAAGTGGAGATGACTGATTTTCCATCGGGAAGAAGGGTTTGTGAGGGTTTTGGGATTTTCAGAGATGTTGACCATTCGATCAATTCAAGAACTTAAGAGATGTTTGATAGTATTTTAAGGTGTTGCACTTTATTCTTTCGAATTTGGTAAAGAAATATGGTAAGGATCAGATTAATTTAAAGAGGGAATTTGATAGAGTTTGAGTGTCCAACGGCATTTTTTGAACTTAAAAGTCTTCTGTCATTGGGAGTGTCAATCTAAAAAGACGTTAGACTCTTCCCAAAAATCTAGCAATTATGGCATGTGGCAATTAGGTTGGTGGGAACTGGTTCATTTGTAAATTCTGAGTTTTAAAGAGTTTTAGGTAAAGTGGGATACATTTCTTAGACCATGATTCTTTAGCAGTAATTTTAAATTATGCGGAGAATTGGATACATACATTCTAAGATGGATGAACCAGGTTCTTCACTTAAAGTTGTCTTATGTAGGACTGAATTTTCTGAGAAAATAAGAGTAATATCATTAGACATCAGTGAGATATTTTAAAATACGGCACGTGAGTATACTACTAAAAGTATGAGACCTAGCAATATCTAATCTAATTATTTGTAAAATTTATGAATCATCTAACCAGTCATTGAGGTAGATACGGTTTCTTTTAGGTGATCTTAATCATCACTAATTCTGCCATGTTCTTTTTAAATTATTTATTACTTAGTGCTTTAGTGAAGATGTCAGCAATTTGCTTATTAGTAGCACAAAATTTTACATTGATCAAGCCCTTCTCAAATTTATCCCTTACAAAATACCTAACATATATATACTTAGTTATTTTATGATGAACCGGGTTCTTGGTCATGTTGATTGCAATTGTATTATCATAAAATATAGTAATACAACCTACATCAATTTTAAAGTCCGTTAATTATTTCTTATTCCACAATAATTGAGCACAACATAAGGCAGCAACCACATACTTAGCTTCAACAGTAGATAAATCCATAGAATTTTACTTTTTAGTGTCCCAAGATACAAGACATGAGCAAAGAAAATATTTCATACCCAAAAAAAAATATCCACAAGAAAACCTGCATAATCAGCATTAGCATATCCTACTAGATCAAAAGTACTATCTTTTGGATACTGTAGGCAAAGATCAGGTGTGTCTTTTTAGTATCTCAAGATCCTTTTGACTGCATTCAAGCAAGACTCTTTTGAATTTTCCTGGAACCTAGCACAAAGTCCTGCACTGAAATAATGCCAGATCTACTAGCAGTGAGATATAAAGAGAATCAGTCATTCCCCTATACATTTTCTTATCAACCGATAAACCAGGTTCATCGTGATCCAATTTAATAGTTGTTGCAATAGGAGGGTCAATTTCTTGGAAATCTTCCATTTTAAATATTTTGGGCAACTCTTTGACATACTTTTGTTGATGGATCATAGTTCTATTTGAAGTTTGTTTAATTTATAAGCCTAAAAAGAAATTAAGCTCATCCACCATACCCATTTCAAATTCATTTCCGATTAGCTTAGCAAATTCCTTACTTAACCTATATTTGTTGCTCCAAAGATTATGTCATCAGCATATACTAAACAACCAAAAGATATTTACCTTTTTCTTTCAGGAATAAAATATTATCAATATTAACTCTTTTATAGTTATGCTCAAGAAAGAATTTTGATAATCTTTTATACCATACTCTTGGAGCCTACTTAAGCCCACAAAGTACCTTATCAAGATTGTACATATGCTCAAGACATTCCTTGTTTTCAAAGCCAGGAGGTTGCTTGACAAACACTTCTTCCTTTGAATATCCACTGAGTGAAGGCACTCTTGACATACATCTGATGGAGAATGAATTCCATGGAAGCAATAAAGGCTATAAGGAATCTAATTATTTCCAATTTTACAACTGAAGCAAATGTCTCATTATAGTCTATGCCCTTCTCTTGACCTTATCCTTGAACTACAATCTTGCCTTGTTCCTTGTAACCATTTCTTCTTCATCAAGTTTGTTTCTGAAGACTCATTTTGTACCAATCATTGTTTGTCCTTAGATCTTGGTATCAGATGTCAAACTCGACTTCTTTCAAATTGGTTGAGTTTATCTTGCATTGCATTCACCCAGTCTGCATCATGCTAAGTCTCAAAAATATTTTTAGGTTCAATTAGTAATAGGAAAGCATCAAAAGAATAGAGATTCTTTAAAGAGGATCTGGTCTTAATTCCAAAGGTTGGATAAGTGATTATGTTCCCAATGGGATGAGAACTTTGATACTTCTATGATTTCACAATCAATTGGTTTTCTTTGGATATTCCTTCCTTGTTTTGTTGCCGAGGAACAGGTTCATGGACAGGTTCCTTCGAGGTTTGAAGATCATTTCCTCTCATATCATTTCTCCATGTCAGGTTGTCCTAGGTGGAAGAACATGGTTCATCACCTGTTCCTTCACGTGATACAGCTTCTGGATGGATTGTTATTTCAGCATTTAAATATCTTGTCAGCCTAATCTCTTCACCATCTCGTTCCTGCCTTTCAAAGAGAATCTTGGATTCATCAAAGACAAAATGCACACTCTTTTCTACACACATAGTTCTTTTATTGTATATTTATGGGCTTTACTATGTGAAGCATATCCCAAGAACACTCCCTCATCACTTCTGGGATCAAACTTTCCTTGGACATTCTTTTCATTATAATGAACTTGGAAAGGTTGATCGGATGTTGACTTATGTGTAAACGATCTTAAATTTGAATTCCTATGATTTCGTTAGCTCTGTTAGGTGATTTTGAACTTTGGAGCACGTCAGGAATATGAATTGGAGGTCCGTGGTAGAATTAGGCTTGAATTAGCAAACGTTGGAATTTTGGTGATTTTGGCCGGTAGTGAAAATTTTGATATCGTGATTGGAATGGAATTCCAAAAGTTGGAGTAGGTTCTTGGTGTCATTTTTGACTTGTGTGCAAAATTTGAGGTCATTCAGACGTGGTTTGGCGGGTTTTGGCATCCGAATCCGAATGTGATTTACTGTTTTGATGTTGTTTTGAGTGATTCAAATATTCAACTAAGTTCGTATGATGTTATAGGAAGTGTTGATATGTTTGGTTGGGGTCCCGAGGGCCTCAGGTTAGTTTCGGGTAGTTAACGGAGCATTTTGGTCTTGAAGAGATTGCTAATAGCTACTGGTATTTTTCTTCTGGTTTCCTTATACGCGATCACATGAGTATATCCGCTACGCATAAGCTTATTTGTGGTAGAGGTGAGTTTGTTCTACATGATCGCAGAGCTAGGGACACGATCGCATATGTGTGTGAGGATGTGCTTCGCGAATGTGTGGTCAGTGCCGCGTTCGCGTAGGAGTAATTGACCTGAAGATGAGCTAAGGTAATTGCTCTACGCGATTGCGTGATGTAGGATGTGATCGGGTAGGTTTGTGTGGCAGTGATTCGCGAACCCGGGGAGTATTCCGTGTTCGCATAGAGTAAAAATGTAGGGCAGCCTGTTTGTGCTTCGAAATCGCGAGGCTATTTTCGCAATCGCGATGAAGGATATCTGGGCAGTAGTGTTAAATTTCAAAATCGAGGGTTTGAACCTATTTTTCATATTTTGGTCTAGAGACCACGGAATTGGGCGATTTTTGTAGGGGGTTTTCAGAGAGGTAATTGGGGTAAGTGTTTCTCACTTGGTTTTGGTTAAATTCCATGATTGTATCTTGATTTTTATCATATAAATTGGGAATTGGGGTCAAATATTGGGGGGAAAATGGAAGAGTTCTTGATATGGGATTTTGGGGATTTGAGGGTGATCGCTACCAACTCCACACTACTAAAAGGTAGGAAGAGAGGGTCGCAATAGCTTTTACCCGATTTGAGGGTGGGGATCGATTTCCACAGGGAGCTAGGAATGGAGTCGAGTATCTATCTACACTAGAGTTGTGTATTTGTTCCTAATGTCACTTCCATACATTTTTGGGTTTTCGATTATAAACTACTATTATCAAACTATTAATTGAAACTAGATTATGCTACGAGATAATTGCTAAGTTGTATCTAATGGGAAGAAAGGCACTAGGGTCGTGACATTACCTAGGTGGCTAATTGACGGGTGGATGTTACTAAGATTCGATTGACATAATTGGGGATTATGATATAACCATTGCACAATTTTACCCACTCTCACACCTCTCGGTAGAGAGAGTGATTTTGCCCAATTGACTCTCTCGAGACCAAATGGGTAGGCAAATTAGCTCAAGCAACTAGGGTTCAAGTTGGGTAATTACTATCTCGAGGTTTAACCCTTTAATTGGGACTATCAATTCTCTTGAGTCCATCCCAATTCCTTGTTGGGTTAATTTTGGAGACTTAGGCTCTCTTTCTCAAGAAGAGCCAAGTCAACTTAGCACAAAATCAGTGTTTGCAATCATCAATTCATAGATTAAACCATAAAATTGACCCAAATAACAAACACCCATAGTAAATCTAACAATAGATGGCAACACCCATCAACTATCCACACTAGGGGCTGAGCCATAGCCATAGCTAATGGGTTTAGCTACTCATGCTTGAAGGAGAAAATAGAGAAATGGATGAAGAACAAGGCATATTAATTAAATGCTAAATTAAAATACAAGAATCTATCGTTAATTTGAAGCTAAGATGCCAAAAATGGCTACAGATGAAGTTCCCACGAGCGCAGCTAAGTTCTGGATATATCTGATGACCTAAAAATGTTGAAATGTTCTATTTATACTAGGCTGGAAAAACTAGACAAAAATACCCTTGCGGGATCAGCACGGGCCGCATAAAATGGACCGCGGCCGCGCTAGGCTCTTGGACTTCAATTCTAGGCTCTCTGACTTGGGCTCCGCGAACCGCGTAGAATGGACCGCGACTGCGGAGGCAGCTGTCGCAATCCGCACAACCATGACCGCGGACCGTATTGGCATTTTCCATCTCTCTGAATATCTCTTCCCGCGGACCGCACAAAAAGGTAGTGCGGTCGCGGAACCTTTACCGCGGACCGCACAATGTGTACCGTGGCCGCATTTCCTGAAGCCTGGTTTTTTGTCATCTTTCTGAATCTCTTTTCCGCGGACCGCACAAAAAAGCAATGCGGCCGCGTAACCTTCACCGTGGATCGCGTAATGTGGATTGCGGCCACGTTGCCTGAAGTCTGGTTTTGCCATCTCTCTGAATCACCTAGTGCGGCTGCATTCGACTTTGTGTGGTTCGCACTAAGCCTGTTTGCCCTCAGTTTACTTTGTCTTTGATACTTGAGCAGGTTTCACTCCTTTTGAGTCGATCTTTGACATTTCGTCACTTTGTCGATCAAACCTGCAATCAAGCACAACTTATGAGCCTTTTTGGACCTTTTTTGTAATGATTTATAATCAAAGCATAGGCAAGAAGGAGTATGAAACTCGTTAAAATCCCTACTTATCAACTCCCCCAAACATAAGCCTTTGCTTGTCCTCAAGCAAACAAAATAAGACCCACCCCTTAACGGAAAATACAAGTATTTCCAACTATCCTAAAGTAATCTCAACAAGCATCAATTGGGACTAACAATTGCCATCAATACGAATGAACCATTCACAACATTTAAACTTTGAAAAATACTATGGATCAAGTGTGACACAAGAGCATCAAGAGTTGACTCATTACATCAAAGAACTCTCTCAATTACTTTGGTCATTGTGGAACCCAAACTCACACATCCTCAACTCTCCCTAAGAAAACCTCACCTTTTAGAGTATTAGCACATAAACCGAGGTTAATGGGATTTCACTCATCTCTCTCAAGGAAAGGCCACAAATCCGGCTCTAAGTACCATATACTTTCCCCTTATGTAAGTATCCACTAATGTAAGCGTCATTCAACTCTAGATCATATAGGGCTTTTGAGGAGTCAATGTGAAGACTTTTGGTTCAGGGTAGGAAACGTTTTTGGTCTAAATGGGTTCCATCTTCCCTTAAGCACTTCTTTTGATTCATTTGGCATAATTCTCTTGACTATTTGAGTATCTCACTTCTTTTTAAGGGGTTAGAGAGACATAATGTCACTCTTTCTTATGCACTTCAAAATGTTTCTCCTTTTTTCAAATTTTTCCACACCTTTTTTTTCTCTTTTGTTTTTTTCTTGAATCCCTTTTTATTCTTTTTCACACTGGGCTTTCTTTTTGTCTTTTTCTTTTCTTTTATTTTTCATTGCCTTCTTTTTCTTCGCTTTAGTACCTTTTACCACTTTGTTCCCTCTCTCGTCTCTCCTCCCAAACTNTTGTTCCCTCTCTCGTCTCTCCCCCCAAACTTAGACTTTTGCCATTGCTCAAGGGAAGATCGGGTGCCAAAAGAGGGTATATTTTAGAATGGATATAGGCTTATAGTATTGGTTCTTGAAAGAAAAAGGTTTAAGGCTCAAAAGGGTTAACTAGGGATTAGATCATTGATGGGCTATGGAATTGTTCAACTATCATTTGGATCAAGGAGAGCCTATAATTACTTCTCAAGCCAAATTTCACTCAAGATTTCGCCTCAACAGACATTCAGGGCAAGTTCTAGACCATTGGCTCGGGACTTGGACTCACAATTCGATTTCTCACCACACAAGCTCAAGGATTGCTAAAGACATAGAGTCGGGGGCCCACAACAACCTTAGACACGATTGAGCACTCAATAGTCCCGAAAGACCACATGATGATTGTTTGGTCAACACAAGAGTCTCAAGGTCACGACTTTCACCATCTTAAACACAACAACTTGTCTTTGATCATGGGATCAAAGGCAAATGTGTTAGGCCCAAGTGAAACTTTGCTTGAGGTACCCTTAACTATAAGCTACCAA